CACGTCATCTTAGGTTTTACTAAGAATCAGTCAGCAAGAGTTTATTAAGCACTTACTACATACCAGGTACTCACTGAAATGCATTCTTCAGAATAAGGAAGATAATCGTTTCACCACGTTTGATGTTGGTTACATCTCATCTCGAATGTCGTGTTCAGTTCTGAGCATCCCATTTTAGAAAGGACATTGAAAGCGGATGAGTACTCAGAAGAGGCTGACAAGGAAAATGAGAGAGCTCAAAACCATGTCACTCAAGGAACGGTTGAATAAACTGGGAATAACAGTCCACAGAAGAGAAGATATAATAACAGTTTTCAGGGATTCTAAGAACCAGCGTGTAGAGTCCTTCATGTTGAAGAAGGATCAGGTTGGCCTCAGGGAGCAGAACTAGGAGCACTGGGCAGAAGCCGAAGACAGACAAATTTCAGTTCAACATAAGGGAAAACTTTCTAGTAACTTGTTGTTGCTCAGTCATTTCAGTTGTGTCTGGCTCTTGGTGGGTTTTCTTGGCAAAGATACTGGAGTGGTTTGCCATTGCCTTCTCCAGCTCATTTTACAGATGAGGAAACTGAGGCCAACAAGGTTAAGTAACTTGCCCAGGACCATGTAGCTAGTAAGAGTCTAAGGCCATATTTAAACTCATAATGAGTCTTCCTGACTCTAGGCCAGCACTTAATCCACAGTTTCTAATAATTAGAGCTGCCCAATAATGGAATGGGCTTGATCATAAAGTAGTGAGCCCCCATCACTGTGGATCTTCAAGGAAAAGCTGGGTGACCACTTGCAAGGGGACATTATAGAGGGAATACCTGCTCAACTGGAGGTTGACCCTTGAGTTCCCTTAAAACATGTAAGAGTCACTGATCCTTTGACATTGATGGGGAGAAGTAGGTTGCTACATGTTGCACCTTTCCTGTGCTCCTGGTTGTTGTTATTTAGCAGAGACATATCCCTTTGTGTTCAAAGTATGTTTCCAGGTTAATTAATCCTATCATTATCACTGTACTCCATAATTAGATGCACTGTGTAATTATATCAGCCATTCTGCATTATTGATGTATAATGTGCCAGCCAAAGATGATTATTAATTAATACCATATTGGATTATATCACAGGCACATATGATGAAATTCTGATCTCTCTACCTAAGTGGCTCTTGTTTCCTGGGTGCTTCTTAAGTTTATATTATTTCTAGTTAGTTCAAGTTGTTCTTGGGTTGAAGGAAGAAGTATTGGTTTTCATGATTTCCAGCTCCATTCTTACAGATGTAAAGATGGAAGGGGCCTCAGAGGTCATCTAGTCCAAACTCTTCATTACTCACAGATAAGGAAATGGAGAAGCAAAGAGGTTATATGACTTATCCTAAATTTCACAAGTAGCAAGTGGTAGAGCTGGGATGTGAACGTAGGTCTTCTGATATTAAATCCAGGATGATTCTCACTGCACCGTGCTGCTTCTATATTCTTTCTCTATGGATAGGACCTCTCTTTCCTTCTAGGCTGGCAACCTAGGGGTCCTTCTTTACTCATCATTCTCTCTTGCCAAGGCCTATTGATTTTACCATCATGATATTTCTCTTAGATGCACCCTTCTCTCCTCTGATACTGCCACCACTCTGGTTCAGGCCCTCATCATCTCATGCCTAGATTATTGTCATAGCCTGCTGGTTGGTCTTGCCACAAGCCTCCCCCCACTCCAGTCTATTCTTCAGTCAGCTGTCAAGGTGATGTTCCTAAACTGGAGGTCTGACCATGTCTCCCCTTTACTCAGTAAACTCCAGTGGCTCCATATAACCTCCAGGATCCAATATAAGACCCTCTGTTTGAGTTCAAGGTCCTTCATAACTTGGTGCCCCACCCTCAACTTTTCCAGTCTTCTTACACTTTATCCCACCATGTGCTTTGATTCCATGCCACTGCATCTTTGCTATTCCAGTTCCTAGCCTTTTTACTGGTTGTCCCCTGTGCCTGAAATGTTCTTATCTCTATCTCTTGGCTTCCCTGGCTTCTTTCAAGTGCCAACTAAAATACTACCTTCTTCAGGAAGCCTTTTCTAATCCCTCTTTATTCTGGTTCCTTCCCTTTGTTGATTATCTCCAACTTACCCTGGATATAGCTTGTTTTTACATAGTTATTTGCATGTCGTGTCACCCATTAGACTGTGAGGTCCTGGAGGGCAAGAATTGTCTTTTACCTTCTTTGTATTCCTAGTACTTAGCACAATGCCTGGTACATGGTAGGCACTTAATACATGTTTATTTCCTGGCTGACTCACTTAGAAGTTTGAGTTTTCTCAGGATCTTTCCCTTTGTCCTTTCAGACCCTGTTCTTGATCTCTCAGTCCCACCAAGTTGCCAATGACTCATAAATGAGCCCTGTACTAGGTGTATGAACACTTTCACTGAGTGGGATAACTTCAATTAAAAGGAATATAGCTCCAAGTAGAATTTTAAGCAGTAGTCAGCAGTTGGAGAGGATCATTTTAACTTCCTCCTCCAGGATTCTCTCCCAAGAATCAGGTTGGATCTACTGGACAGTCTCCACTTCTGCACATGGCTCTTCCCAGTCACTCTCATGGGAGAGTTGTGTTTGAAACACCAGATGTTGGGAGCTAAATCTGGGACTGCATCAGCTGGAAGACTTTGAGGGAGACAATTACCTGCCAGGAATAGCTATCATCCCTAGATTGGCTCAGCATGCACAGAATAAAGGGTCATTTGCCCAGAAATATGGAGAAGATGGTTTTTTGGCATTTATTAAGTGCCTACCACATGCCAGACACTTGGTGTGGGACCTGGGGGATTAGAGTAAAGCACGTGTGTGCTTCCTCCTCCCCATTTGTATCCAGGTGAAGCCAGCCAGTTATGTAGTGAGCAAGAGAGAGGGATCACTGACACAGAGCCTGTGTACTTCATTAACACCTATAAAATTTCAAGAGAACTGAGGAAGCAATTCCCCCACCCCTAGAAATTGAGTGGGCCCCCTGTGATGGATTTATGGGAAGATGTGGATAAGAATTACATAACTGGGCAAGCATGGATGGGTCTCCTATTCTCATGATGAGCCCAAGGGAAGGATAGACATATGAAGAGACACAATACTCATTGGAGTAAAGACAGCTATAAAGGGGGAAAAATATCAAAAGGCAACTTGAGGGGAGAAGGAAGGGGTTTCTATTGCTAGGTAGCCAGCTCAAGGACCTCTGGATTTTCTGGTGATAATTGTAGTGGTGGAGTGGGTTTCTATGCTCATTGAATATATAGAGGTGTGCTGGTGACGTTTAACAACTGCTCTCCAGAAAAAAAAATGTGTCCATGACACACTTTTCAAGTTAAACTGAATTATTGACATTTCCCCTCCACTTTCTTAAGTCTAGACAATCAGTGAAACCATGAATCAAGCCCTAATTTATAGCATTTGCTGATTTCTGAGGTGTGAATGATGACATTGAAAATTTAACAATTGGGTAGGTTCCCATGAGCTTGCACAAGGAAGCTCCTTGGCTCTTACAAGCCAGTTCCAGCACAGTACTGGGAGTAATCATAGGAGGGGCTTTTCTCCCTTCTCCTCTCCCTTCCTCCTCCTCTAAGCCATTGGCTCTTCAGGTTGATTCTCTGGAAGTACAAGACTTGGGACACTCACTTCCGTCTCACTTCCAGATGACTGGCTTTCATCATCTATGCTTGGGCACTTGGTGTCAATGCAAGAATTATGAGAAGGCAAAAATATTCTGAATGGAGCTAATAGGGCTGAGCAAGCATAGCACAGATTGAAGAGTAGAGGCAGTATGCAGAGTGGAAGGAGCCTAGGTTTGAATACTGCCTCTGAATGCTTATTATCTATGTAACCATGGGCATACCACTTAATTTGCCTTGGTCTCAGTTTACTCATTGATAAAATGAGGGTATTCATCTAGATGATTACTGGGATCCCTCCTAGATCTTTTATCCTGTATATATGGAATCAGTCTGACAGAGTATGTATGGGGAGTCTCTGAGGCTAAGCAGACTGAAAAAATGGAAGATAAAGGAAGTAACAGACAGAAGATTTATCTCTATAGCATGGGTTTAGGGTTAGTCTATGTAACTCTCTTTACCTGCTACTAGCTCATTTTTCTCATTCTAAAGTAATCAAGGGATATGTCCTAATATTTCCACATTACTTACCAAAATTACAGTATTTCACCCATCAATTAGCTCTGAGCTACCACCTGTTTTATTATTGTTTATTATTTATTTAATAAACCTAGAGAAATCACCTTGTTTTTCTGCCCCTAACTCCTTCCCTCTCTTCACACACCCACATACACACCCACACACACCCACACCCACACCCACACCCACACCCACACCCACACCCACACACATACACATACTGTACAACATCAAGGTTACTGGCTATGCTATTTATTCACAATATTACAGACAATTAAACAAAGTCAATAATTATTTGCAATGTATTAGTTGTGAGAAAGATCATAGCCAAAGTCATGTTTAACCATTATTAAAGCTGCTAACTTCTCAGTTCTGGAAACAAGGTCCTAATATTCCATTCTCCCAGGATACCAATTAAAGGATTTTCTCAAGAATTCTTTCCATGTTTCTTTGCAAGAAAAAGTTAAGATCAGTTCTCTCAGGAAATAAATTCTTTTAGTATTTTTGTCTTTATCTTTTCGGCCACAACAGTTTCTTCAGAAGAGTTAAACTCTTAATCTCGCAGACGTCATAGAAGAACAATTGAAACTTTTACTGTCCAAGATTCCATCACCCTTAAAAATAAAGTAACAATATCTATAGTTTCTGTGGGAGAGGCTATTGAAGTGTTTGTTTCGCTTCTAAATCTTGAATTTGTGAATATCATCCTCCCTCCCCTCACCATCTTCTGACTTGCAAAATATTCCTCAATATCATGGCATTTCTTATCATTACATCCTGAGAGACTGAGGCAGTTGTCTGAGCTTTACTTTTCTCATCATAATCCCTTTTTTATCTACTTCCCTAGATGTTGTGAGGAACAAAAGAAATAATGGATTTGAAAGAACTTTTTAAGGTAAGAACTTTGTTCACCTATAATGGTACTGGAATACTATTGTTTTCAAGCATACAATGCCTTATTACTCAAACAGATTTTCTTTCCCAGCCCATGCCTGAGCTCCATGTTTTTACAGTCAACAGTAATATTGGTTCTCTACAGATCAAGACACTTGATCAAAGCAAAATTTTCTTTTCTCTGAAACTAAAAGAATATTAATTATGAGGAATATGTAACCCTTATGTTAAAGCCCTCCTCATCCCTATATTTCAAGAAATTAATTTTCATGGGGCAGCTAGGTGGCACAGTGGATAGAGCACCGGCCCTGCATTCAGAAGGACCTGAGATCAAATCTGGCCTCAGACACATAACACTTCCTAGTTGTGTGACCCTGCACAAGTCATTTAACCCCCACTGCCCCTCCCAAAAGAAATTAATCTTCTCTGATTATATATCTAGATAACTGTATATCTGGATAATCTCAGAACTTCAGCATCCAAAATCTTTTCAGGGTATTGTCACTAATCTCCCCTTACAAGCACACATATTCACAAGGTTTAAAGAATGAAGAGGTTTATTAAAGTCATGAAAAGCAAGTAGATTGTTCTTAGAGCCTGTAGAGGATAATATTTATCAGGAAGTATTCTTCCTCCAGAATGTAGCATAGTTTCAGTCACATATAGACCATGTCACTAGGGTTCCCACTAAACATGCTTCTTATCAAGGATATTAAAATCACCCACATCCTTTGTTATATTCAACACCTTGCTTATCCTGAAGTATTCCTCAGCTTCCAGCGTAGGATGTGTAACACCATATCAAACTTGTTTAGTTCTGTGTCTGAGACTTATCTCTAACTTATGGTCAGATTCTTGTGGCTTTCTCTCACTGCCCTCTGCTAGCTGATGTCTCTGGTTGCCCCTCTGGGTAAGAGGTTTCCCTCAGAAGCAAGAAGAGGAATACTATTAGAACTTCCTTGTCTAAGTTGAGGACTTTCTCTACTCTCTTCATGACTTGCTTTGGTTTACTGGTCACAAAGAACCATGCTCTGAGTCTTGCCTTTGTACTAGTACTTTTTAAGTCTTCACTTCCCCAAATGTATCCAGCCATCAGAAGCACTTTAGTTTTAGCCCTGGATACTTGAAGGGACCATATGATCCTCACAGTGGATTTTGATAATTCTTCCTCTGATTTTCCCCACATGTCTATATATTAATATATGTCTATATTAAAAAAAAAAGCTAAAGATGGGTATCCTCCTGTAATATGTGGATTAGTGGAATGAGAAGAAATGGGAACAGCATGAGGAAATTGTCAGTCTTTGCTACAATAATAACAGAGAAAATAAATATAGAATGAAACTCTTCTGATGTGTAGAAAGGCAGTTTCAAACTGTCCTGAAAACCATATTGCCAGATGTGATTGACCAACTGTTTTTCAGGCTAGGTGGCAGAAGAAGGTGGCAAAGAAAGTATGTGATTTGTCTTATGTTTTTTCCCCCCTGGAGGTATCCACCTCTGCCCTAAAGAAGGAGCAGTGAATCAGGGTCCTGGGTTTTACCTCTGCCCATTCTTTAAGAGTCCTCTCTTGCACAATGAATTGGCTGTTCTCCTCTATGGTGGGAGGAGAAGTTGGGGCCAGTCCCAGAGTTGCAGCCTAAATGGCAGTGGGCCTTCCTGTGACAGTTCCACCCCTATACTGTGCTGTCTAGTGATAATCTCTAAGCCTATTTATGTTCTGTGATGCCCAGACACCTGCTTGTTGGTGCATGGTAGAAACAAGGAGAAGAGTGGAAAACGTTCCAAACAGTTGATTTATAACAGCTATTGTGAAGCCTTGAAATGCATCTCATCAGGCTCAGCAGAAGTCACACTGTTAGCAACCCCTCCTTCTTCCTCCCACAATCCCTCCCCCATGTTCCTGAATTGTTTTCAAGCTGTGAATAGACAACCATACCATGTGAACATTAAACAGACTGTGAAGTCCAGCCACAATGGAATTCATTTTTTAGTTGGGGTGGGGAGGGGGTGGTCAGCTGTGCTGACCAGAATTTTCATTTCAGCCTAGTTTCTAAGAGGCCAGGTGGGGTCTACCCAGGGTAGAATTGGGCTCAGAGATGGCCTTGGAGATTCTTTCTAGCTCCAGATTTCTGATCCTGTGATAGCTTTAGCAGGGTTGGATAACCATAGGTAAGACCAGTGCTTCAACCTTAGCCTGGCTAACCTGGGGCTCAGGTAATACAATGGGTCACAATCTTAGCCTGCAGCTCATTAAGAGTGAACAGATTTAGAGTCTTAAAGCTGGGTTTAAATCTCAGCCTGGCTACTCATACCCAGTGTAACCTTGGCTATGTTATCTTCTCTCTCTGGATCTGTTTCCTTGATTGTAAGATGAAAGGTTGAACTAATTGATTCTAAAGTTCCTTCCGGGTTGTTGTTCAGTCATGTCCAGTTCTTTGTGATCTCACTTGGGGTTTTCTTGGCAAAGATAGTGGAGTGGTTTGCCATTTCCTTCTCCAGCTTATTTTACAGATGAGGAAATGGAAGCAAACAGGATTAAATGATTTGCTCAGTTGGTGAGTGTCTGAGGCTGGATTTGAACTCATGAAGATGAGTCTTCCTGATTCTAAGCCCAGTGCTCTGTCCACTGCGCCACACAGCTGCCATTCCTTCCAGATTAACATCTTATACTTTCTGGGAAATTAAAGTAGCAGGGTAGAAGCTGGGATTGGGTAAGCATTAGAGGGGCCAGGAAGGATTGGGTGGGATGAGTTAGTGGTCTGAAGAGTCCTAAGTCTGTAATTCAGGGGGCCAAAGTTATTGCTTCTGTCAGGTTGTTTATATTGTCAGAGGATCATAAATTTAGTATTAGAAGGGACCTTGGAGACCATGAAATATAATGCCCCATTCTACAGATGAGGAACCAAGACCTGGAGAATTAAAGTGACTTTCTGGACATCACACAAGTAGTAAGTGGCAGAGCTGGGATTTGAATGTGCGTTTTCTGACTCTAACTCCAGAGTGCTTTTCACTGTATCTTGCTGTTTCTGTCTCTAAACGTCTTCCACCCTGTTGAAAATTCACCACTTCATCATATTTGCAAAAGTCCATTCATAGTGGAAACAGTCAACAAATCTTGCTTCTTATGTTAGAGGTAGCACCTGGGTCAATTTTCTTTGACAGCTGTTGGTTGTCTCTGCTATTCCCTTCATGTTTTTATCAGTGAGCTCTGTTGCTGCATCCACCACACAGCAGCCACTGTATGCTCTCCTGATTGCTCCTTAGTCAATAGTGAGCTCTTGGCTTACTTCATACTCCCAAACAACTTAGCAACAGACATTAACTCAGCACTGCCTGGCAGGGCAAATGGAGAGATGTTAGCATTTTAACACACCCTCACAATAGTTTGAGTTTGAGACAGTACTCTTTTTAGCATGCAGATGCCCTAGCAGGGACCAGTACAGTGGAATGGCCAGGAAAATGGGTCATATGAGATCATTTTTTTTTTACTAATTTATTTTTAGTTTTCAACAATCACTTACATAAGCTTTTGAGTTTCAAATTTTTCTCCCCTTCCCTCCCTCCCTCTCCAAGATGGCATGCAATATGATATAGGCTCTACATATACATTCCTATTAAACATATTTTCACATTAGTCATATTATAAGGAAGAATTAGAACCAATAGGAGGAACCACAAGAAAGGAAACAAAACAAAACAGAAGAAAAAAAAGAGCAAAAGTATGCTTTGATCAGCATTTAAACTCCATAGTTCTTTCTCTGGATGTGGATAGCATTTTCCATCATGAGACTTTTGGAGATGTTTTAGATCCTTGCACTGCTGAGAAGAGCTAAGTCTGTCAAAATTAGTCATCGCATAACATGTCCGTTACTGTATATAATGTTTTCCTGGTTCTGCTCACTTCACTTGGCATCAGTCCAAACAAGTCTTTCCAGGTTTTTCTGAAGTCTGCCTGCTCACCATTTCTTACAGCACAATAGTATTCTATTACATTCATATACCACAACTTGTTCAGCCATTCCCCAATTGATCATATGAGATTGTTTTAAAAGACTTTAGGAAACCAGAGTAGCTGACACTAGGTGCTTATATCAAGGTTCAAACAGTGACTCTCCCAAAACTTGACAAATGGATGACTCATTCTTGTGGTTGACATGGACACAAATGATACTGTCAGAAGGAGCCTAAAGAGTATTGCCAAAGTTGGGGCAAGGAACTGAAGATCTTAGGGACATAGGTGGTATTTTTAAAAAGTGCCAAGTACTGTGCTAAGCACTGAGGATAGAAAGGGGGAAAAATCCCTAATCTCAAGGAGCTTCTAATGGGGAAGATAAGATAGCAAATAAATATGTACATAAAAATACAGATGGCATAAATTAAATCAATCAATACACATTCATTAAGCAAAAAAGGTCACTTCTGCTCACTGGGAAACAAGGAATATAGAAGAGAAGCTGATTCTGGTAGTGAACATCTGAGAATGTTATTTGGATATTTGGATCATAGCTTATTATATGGAATTGATAGGATTCTCGCCAGGGCTGGAGTGTACCTAATAAAGGCTGGTAAGAATGTATTGCCTTGTGTCTTGAAAATCTAATCAAAAAAGCTTTATACTAAAAAGGATAAAAAAGATAAGTGTCTAACTATCAAGACAGATGACATAGAGATAACATTCGAATAAGAATGGTTTTTGAGACATCTAAGGAGATAAATATGTGACTTGGATTAGATATAACTTATTCAAAGGACACCGGATATGTAAAAGATATGGGGTATAGTCTGGTATACTGAGCAGGTGTATTCATGGGGGAAATCAGGAACTAGAAGAGAAAGCATGATGGAGAGGCTTTCTGTAAAGGTTAATGGAAAGACAAACAAGTCATTTGGTCATGGGGGCAAATTCCATAACATTTGGACAAAATGAAGAAATAGGTCAGGAGTTTAGAAAACAAATCCCAAACCCGACATAGGAGTGTGCTTTCTTCAACAAAAGTG